GCCTGTGAGCACAGAGAAAGAGCTAACAAGAGTGGCCTTTCCAAACCGAGCTGAAGCTGGGCACTGCCCAGGGAGCCTCTCTCCTGACCATGGGGTTGGGAGTCCAGGCTTTGGGGTGGACTCTCTGGATGTCGTTTGCTCGCACGTCAGTGGCCCCAGGTGGTTGGAGCCGAGGGACTTTCTTTTTTTTTTTTTAATACGGAGTCTTGCCATGTCACCCAGGCTAGAGTGCAGTGGCGTGATCTCAGCTCACTGCAATCTCCGCCTCCTGGGTTCAAGAGATTCTCCTGCCTCAGCCTCCCAAGTAGCTGTGATTACAGGTGCCCACCACCATGCCTGGTTAATTTTTGTAGTTTTAGTAGAGAAGGGATTTCAGCAAGTTGGCCAGGCTGATCTTGAACTCCTGACCTCAAGTGATCCACCCGCCTTGGCCTCCCAAAGTGCTGGGATTACAGGCATGAGCCACTGCGCCCAGCTGGAGCCAAGAGAGTCTCTGACCTGCAGTCATGTGGGCAGCTGCTTTCTTCTCCAGTCTGTGGGGCTCTGCACCTGCTCTGGGCTCAGAGCTTCTATGGTGACCATGTGACCTGGGCAGGGTGGTCTTCTGCGGCCTTGGGCAAGGTAACTAACTTCTTCAAACCTGTTTCCTCAGCTGTATAAGGAAGGCAATGCCATCTGCCTTGCCATGATGGCTGGGGTGATGCTGGTGCCTGGGACAAAGCTGGTCTTCAGCACACGGCCACCTTTTCCCCCGCTAGCCTCCCCTCGCCCACTGCCTGGCCCATTTAGCCCAGAGATGGAGGCCGTCCCGGTGAGCTCCATGTTGTTCCCTATGTCCCTTCTGCCATCACCTTGCTGCCAAGCACAACAGCTCACAAAAGCTGGAACCTCTTGGGTAACCCTAAGTCCCGCTTGCTGTGTGAACTTCACTGAGTTGGGGCGTTTCCTCCAGGACTTTGAGTTCAAAGCCTTTGCAGACAGTTTGCTATTCGAGGCCTCTCCCAGAGCTTCCACTTCCACACGTGCCTGGTGCCTAGCTCCTCTGCAGAGTCGCCTGGGCTCGGACAACCTGTGCCATCTCGGGCTCACCACTGCACCTCCGTTTCGAACTTCAGCTTCCTCTACTGTAAAACAAGGTGATAATGGGAGTGACCACCCCGAGCCTGTTTCTCAGATTCAACGAACTAACGCCACAGTGTGCCCCGCATGGGTCTAGGCCTTGTGTGTGTGAGACCCTAGCCATGAATCGAGAATGTGCTTTACATTTCCCTACCCCTATCGCCTATGTTCATTGTGACAAAACCTCCAGCAGCTACAGGAGAAGCCCAATGTCACAGGATTCACTGCCTGGGAATTCTTGGCTTTGCACAAAGCCTGCCGTCCTCAGCAGGGAGCCAGGCTCTCCTGGCTCATCTATGCAGGGGCAGCTGGAGAGGGCTTGGCCAGAGCCCCCTCTCCAGGCCAGATGGTCCCTGGGGCATGGTCTCAGTGCTCTGCTCTGGCCTGGGAAGGATCGGCACTCCTTCTGGGACCTTCAGCCCCTGCCCCTCAAGGGAAAATGTCAGTTTGCCTGCTTTGGGCTTAGTCTTCCAGGTGATGGGGAAACTACCCATGGAGCTTGGAGCTGAGCTGCACCCAGGCCACAGAGCCTAGGGCTGGCTTTCTTGGTGGGAAGGCATAAGACACCCTCTAGCTCCCCTGTGGCTCTGGAGTCAGGAGACCCACGTGACCTCTGTCTGCTCCAACCAGTGGAGAGAAGGAGATGGAGTCGGGTTGCTGTGCGCAGCCCCAAGAGAACCAGGATCATTTCCTTGGAGTAGCCATTTCATGTGACGATTGAAGGGGAGAAAAACGTTCTTCCATTGAAACTAATACGAATTGTGGCAAAATCAATATTATTTTACTTTTGTCTGCTTGTGTGCCCAGGAAGGGCGCATGTCACACGGTCCTAGTACTTCTGTCGGGTCCATGGGACTGTGTTCTGGCCAAGGGCGTGTAGGGGGAGGTGGAGTCAGCCCCTCCCTGAACGACATCCCCTGAGGACCTCTCCTTCCCCCTCATCTCGCCAGGGGCAACTGGGAAGCTGTGGTTGAGGAAGAAGAGGCTGGAGCCTGTCAGCTGACAGCCATCCTGAGCCAACCAGACCCACATGACCTCTGCATTCCCAAGAAATAAACCTTGGCTGTGTGAAGACCCGGAGCCCTGTGGGTTTATCTGTTATCTATTCAGGGTGGCCTAACCTAGCCCGGCTAACGTGCGGATGTCATATAGAGCAGAATGCAATATTTACAGGACTTTTAACGCTAACACGAGTGGCTTCGAATAAATGGCTGCTTGTAGCTGGCCTCTCTGGGACATGCCCTCAGACTTCTGACCCATTAACGTCTGGGGTCTGTCTCCTCCCAGCACAGCTGGTGATGGATCCAGTGACCCACCAATGCCACCCACCGCCGGCTCTGGAATAGCTCAAAGCAGGTCTATTTACGTGGTGGGTAAGGTGCTATGACGGTGGAAATTCTTCAGTGGGTCCCATCATCCACCCTGAATGTCTGATGATTAGTGCCCAGTGGCAGATGAGCCCAGGGCCGGCCTCAGGGGCTTCCAACAACTGTTCTACCAGGGTGAGAGAAGCCAGGTGATGGACTAGATGTCCGTGTCCCTCCCAAATTCATCTGATGAAATCCTAGCCCCCAGTGTGATGGGCTAGGGATGGGAGGCCTTTGGGAAGTGATGAGATTGTGAGGTCAGAGCCCTTGTGGATAGGAATAGTGCCCTGGTGAAAGAGACACTAGAGAGCTCGGTCACCCTCTTCCTACCATGTAAGGATACAACAGGTCTGCACACCTGGAAGAGAACCCTGGCCAGGACCCAACCGTGCAGGCGCTGTGATCTTGGACTTGCAGGCTCCAGAACTGGGAGAAATAACATTTCTGTTATCAGCCGTCCAGTGTACTTTACTTTGTTATAGCAGCACGAATGGATTAAGACACAGGCTGGGCGCGGTGGCTCACGCCTGTAATCCCAGCACTTTAGGTGGCCGAGGCAGGAGGATCACGAGGTCAAGAGATCGAGACCATCCTGGTCAACATGGTGAAACCCCATCTCTACTAAAAGCACAAAAATTAGCTGGGCGTGGTGGCTCATGCCTGCAGTCCCAGCAACTCAGGAGGCTAAGACAAAGAGAATTGCTTGAACCTGGGAGGTAGAGGTTGCAGTAAGCTGAGATCGCGCCATTGCACTCCAGCCTGGAGACAGAGTGAGACTCCATCTCAGGCAAAAAAAAAAAAAAAAAAAAAAAAAGACACCAAGCCAATATCCGGAGGTGAGGGGTCCCAGCTCCTCCCTGGGTCCCCATGTGTATCAGCCCAGCACGTGAGCACCGGAGCCAGTGTGACACACACGTCCTCCAGGGCAGGGCTGGGGGTCCCAGCTGGGCTCAGGTGACCCGAGGAAGATGCTGCTGTGGTCATGACCTTGAATGAGTTACTTCTCCTAGGCCGCCAGCTTTATGAAAAACTGGAATTTGCCCCACGAGTAAAATATTGGAAGCGATTACGACATTTGAAGCTTTTTCCTTACCTGCAACCCCAACATATAAAAGAGCTAGCTGAGCTGCTCTAGGGCTTCATGGGATCCAGCCTGAAAACCCCTGGGCCTGAGGCTCTCTGGGTTCCTTTCTGTAGGTATTTGGTGAGGTGATGGGCTGAGGTGGTGAAGGCTTCTGATCACACAGGGCAAAACAGATTCCTTCATGGAAGAGGCCTTAACTCATGTCTCTAACTTGCTGGGCGTTTGGGGCAAACCCCTTCCCCTCTCTGGGCTTCCCTGCCTCATGTGTAATATCGAAAGGCTGGCGTCAGCCGTGATACTATCTTATTGTAAAGCTCATCAGGTCAGACTGGGAAAGCTGCAGTTGCCTGGGTTACAGACAGAGGTGAGGTCTGAGCCCTGAGGGGATCCTGGGGAGGTGGGCTGCAGTGTGAAAGGGCCCCTCTGGCCTCCACAGTCCCCACTCAATCCCCCAAAGACATGCCTGGCCCAAGTCAGCCCTAAGCTCTCACGCTGCTCTAGCTGCCTCCCCTCCAGGCTGCAGGGCCTCAGGCAGGCAAACCCGGGTTTCTCCAGCAGAGAGTGGCCCGACAGCTCCGCCACACTGCAAAGCCGTGACCTGTGACACAGGAGCCTGGGACCGAGGTGCTGGTCCATCTGAGGAATGTGCAGAATCTGAATGGGTCATAAAAAGGCGAACTGGGATCCAAAGGACTGCAGGGGTCACCCGCGGGAACAGGGCCTGCCTAAGTGGCCTCCCTCGGCGTGGAGGACCGTGTGAAATAAATGTTTCTCTGGTGCCAATGGGTGAGGGGATTTCCAGGGAGCTGGGGTCTCACTTTATTTTTAACTCAAGGCCATCTGCTTTCTACTTGCCAAATATTCTGAAATATTCAGAGCAGACATATGCTGCTCCCCAAGGGTAGAAAGAGAGGAGGGTTATTGGAGGGGCGGGGCGTCGTTTACCAGGGACAGAGCCACCAGCTGGACCAGCAGCCCTAGGAATCGCCTCTTTAGTGTGGGGCGAATGGTTTAGTTCTCTGGGGAGGCACCTGCCTCTAGATTCCCCAGTGAGGGTGAAACGTGCAACACTCACCTGTCTAGCTGGACCTGGGCACTTCATGCAGCAGGCTGCAAGTGGCCATCCTCTCTCCCAGGGCAGCCACAGTCTCCACCAAACTCTAGGGACACGTCCCTCCCTCCCTAGGGGAGACTGTCCCCAGCAGATCAAGGGTTGGAGGATTTTCTAAACCCCTCCCTCTACCTCTCCCAGGATCTCACAGTCCTTGAGGTAATATTTAGTTTCCTAGGCAAATATTAAGCATTAAGGGAGAAAAAAATTTAAAGGTGTCCTTTTCTCAACAATTGACCCCAAGTGAACAGACATTGTCCACCCCAGTGGATTTGCTGTCAAAAATTATCACCCAGAACAAACTGTCAATACTTCGCCGTCGTTTCTACAATGAGCCTGTGTTTAGCAACACTCAGCTTCGTTTTATTATTGCGTTTTACAAAGTTGCCAAGACAACTGAGGCCAAGTAACAGAACCTTGACTTTATGCACCATGAAAATTTAATAAAGAATTTTTAAAGGCTTTTAAGAGGCAGGAGCTGCAGTCTCTTAAAGGCAGAGCTCAGCATGGAGCAGGGAGGGCTGGAGCACATGGGGCCTCTCACCAGACCTCCAGGAGCCTCCCCTGTCAGGGAGGTGGAGGTGGGCAGACGTATTTCCTGGCATCCATGTCGTTTCCTTGCTTTGAGACCCTCCCTTTTCTCGACAGACAGGTATTAAGACGCTTCCCAGGTGCCAAGTCCCACACCCGGCTCTTTACATACATTGTGATGTGATCCTTACTATCCAGGCAAGGAGCAGGGATCAGAGAGGTAAAGTCACTGGTTCATGGCCATTTAGGGAGAAAGGGACAGACACAGTCAAGTTCAGCCCCAGGTCTGACGGCAAAGCCCTCGTTTTCCCGAACAGTTCACGGCCTCCTCTGGGAGTCTCAGTCCTCGTTTTTCCCATTCTGATGCAAGGGGTTCTGAAAAGAAAATATCCCTGTGGTCTGGGAGGGGCCTGGGGGAGCAGACAGTGTTCTGTGGCCCGAGACTGGGTCCTGGCAGGAATCTTGGCAAACACTTTCTTCATGTTGGAGGAAAGGTTTCCCATGAGCCTCTTGGTGAGCATGACACTACCCTGGGGCTGCAAAGAGCCCTTTCCACTCTGATCTCTAAATAAGACTCAGAAGCCAATCATCAGAAATTAGAAAACATCAGTAATTTCTCCATTTTCCACCAAAGCTCAACAGTGCTCAGTGTGTGTGTGTGCGTGCGTGTATGTGCATGCATGCGTGTGCGTATGTGCGTGTGTGCATGTGTGTATATAAGCATTATGCCATGTGGTTTTCCTGGTTACATAACAATCGAGACCTTTGGCTACTAAGATAAAGGTAATTGAAGATGTGGCCTATTCCACAGAGCTGCTCCAGAAACAGAAAAAAAAATTAGACTTATTTTGTGAGGGAGAAATTCGTATGCCATACGGGAAAATTTCTCTCACATTCATCAAACCAAATGGGAGACTGGCAAAAGTATCCATCAAGGTGAGGTGGATTTCAGGTTAATATCCGCGGTGGTGAACGATCCCTCCATGCAAAGAGGGCAGCGCTCTCAGCTGCAGGGAACGCCAGCTCCCTGCTGGGAAAGCCATCATTTCTGAGCTTTCAGGGAAGATGCTCTCTTGTCCTGGCCATTGCAAGCCCAATTCTCTGAGGGTTGAAGAGTAGAGGACATTAGTCAAGAAATGGGGAAAAAATGAAGCTATTCTGGAGGGACACTCCGCCAGTCACAAGGCACATTCCGGGTGTCAGAGAAGCAGTGGGAATAATTTCTCAGGCTATAAATGTCTTTAAATACGTGGGAATGAAGGGGGGGAGGGGAGGGGCAAGAAGAGCTGACTGGTGTGGTTTCATCTGTCTTGATGGATAACGTTATTCAAGAAGGAGCTTTTATCTTCATCCCTTTACACTTTGTAGGAAGCCAGTAGCCAGGCCGAAGATGACGCGGCAGCACTTTGGTCTACAAAACACTTTCACATTGATGACGTTTTCTGTGAGCTCCTCTTATGCTCCCAAAGATCAAGTGAGACAGGACTTGCCACTCTCACTGAGTGGCTGGGAGACCCAGAGCCCTTGGAGGGTACCCACAGAGCCTTCCTGGGGTGCTCGGCAGGAGGAGAGCAGGCCAGACAGCCCCAAGCTAAGTCCGCAGACCTGAGTGGAGCCAACACCCAGCCTCTGCGGGACGTGGGTTTCCCCATCTGCAAAATGGGATGTTTTGGGGAGTGTTGAGGCACCGTGCAGAACCAAGGAAGTGCCAAGGAAGGAGTGTGGGATCTAGAGCCAGCCAGGGGCCTCAGGGGGACCCTGACTCTGCGCTTCACCAGCCGGAGACCTCAAGACCTCGATCAGTCACTAAGCCTCCTGGAAGCCAGTTCTCTGCCTCGGGGAAAAGAGAGTGCCAACGATCCTCATCCTTCATGGGGTTGGATGGATCTAAAAGTACTTGCTAAACTGTGAAGGACTGAGCATGTGCGGATAAAATCATGTAGGATAGGGACACCATTCCAAGTGTCTGTGCCCCTACCCTCCTGCTTCCTTAGCCTGGCTACCCACACGCACATCAGGAGGACCTGCTGGGAACTTACCAACTCCACGCAAACTCAGGGCGATGCAGGGTTGAAGGGAGGCCGGCTGGAGGGGTGTTGGTGAGGACCGTCCAGCCTGGCATCCTGTCTCTGAGACTGAACGAGAGGGGGTGCCCATGGTTACGCAGCCTGGGCCTGGCCACAAAGGACCATGGAGAGACACCTAGGGTCAGAGGAGCCATTATCTGTCTACGGACACAGGACAGCTGCCGCATCCCAGGGAGCCAACAAGGCAGGCAGGGATGTGGAGGTGTTCAGCAGATTGGCTTGGCAAGGTTTAGAAATCTGTGCTTCTTAATGGCACCTGCAGGCGAGGCGGAGAAGAAGCGCGGTAACACTGTCCCCTCTCCTGGAGTGCGCTAAACGTTCCTATTTGCAGCAAGCACCCGCTCCGTGCCAACACGGCCCAGCACATGCCTGACCTTGCAGGAACGCACAACTGGGTGGGAGCCAATGCTGTGGTCCCATGGTACACACGACAATACAGGAACTTTCCAGTTCTTGGGAGTGTGGGGAGGGAACTGCTCACTCTGGGGGATTGCAACGAGGACATTGGAACTGGGCCTTGGAAGCCTGTTTGCCACTGGACAGAGGAAGGCCATTACAGGCAGAGGGGCAGAAGACAAGGGTGGCGGGAAATAGCACAGCTCCTCCTGTCTGGTAACAACAGATATAAACAGTCCTGGGAGCAGGGGTAGGACAGGGGCTCAGGGAGGCGGCAGAGCCTGGCCCTGGGGTGTGGGGGCCAGGTGTGGGCCTTACGATGGAAAGAAAGGAAGGGCACCGATGGGGGCTGCTTTCAATAGGCGACTGGACGTCAGCTCTGTGGCTCTCTGAGTTCCTTCCACACTGGTGGGGATGGAGGGTAGGGTGGAGGGGTGAGAGGCAGGGAGGCAGCGGAAGCCCAGGTGAGAGATCGTGTCTGAGTTCGGGGGAGTGGACAGAGGCTGGGAGGAGAAGGAAGAGGAATCCAGGCGGTTCGTTTTAGGGATGGACGCTCGTCTCTCCTGGAAGCCCTGCCTCTGCACGCAGGGAGGGCTCTGTTGGGACCAGCACCTGCCAACAGCGGCACGGAATCCAGTGGGTCTTTATAAGCACCTACTGCAGGCTCCATTCAGGCCAGGCTGTGAGGACATGGCTCCTGCCCCAACACCCCAGGGCCAGAAACGCTCAGCCTGTCCCCCTGGGAGGTTGGAAGGAAGGGGCAGGCAGGGTCAGCATAGCAGGAGCAAGGAAGCTGCCCAGGGGCACACCCAAAGGGGCAAGACTGGCACAGCAGGAAAGGGTAGGTGGGCCCAGTTCTGTGGGTCTGCCCTGTTCTGATGCTTCCCTCCCCAGGTTGGTCCCACTAACTTGTCATACTTGGATGTGAACTCCTCAAACTAAGCACTGGCTGGGCCTGATCTTACCCGTTCATTCCAAGCTCTGGAGCACCCAACTCTCCAGGAACTCAGTTGGCAGACTAGGGAGAGCATCCATGTGGCTGGGCTGTGTGTGCACTGGGGGTGGGGCAAGACAGGTGTCAGAAGGAGGGGGAGGGGACAGGAGAGAGGGAGAGAGAAGACGCTGGAGATGGGTCCTGAGGGCCCTTCCAGGAACCGGGCTTATCCCGCAGCAAAGCACAGGGGCTGCCCAGCTATGTGCCAGGGCCTCTGGGTCCGCCGGACTCAGGGCTCCGCTTCCTGTCCTCTTGGAGGAAGCAACCATCTGCTTTTGCTATCGTTTCAATTACACCAATAAAATGAGTGGCCGATTACCAAAGGGGTAAACACAGTGGGACTTCTTCTTAGGAACAGAGGAGGCGGGGTGAGTCGGCTATCACTCATTCTGATAATGGAGCAGCCTCGAATTGTTTTCGGTTAAACTGAAAAGGGGCCAATCTGTCACGACTGGCCTCTCAGAAAATCACCAGGGAGGCTCCGTGCCCTGCGGGTGGGTGGGGCTTATTTGGGGCCTTGTCAGGCAGAGGAGGGGGCTGCTCCCAGGATACAGGGGCCATGGTGGGCGGAGCAGCCCGCCTCCAGATAATGGCAGGGGGTGGGAGAGGCCCTTTCTCACCAGGAGAGCTGACGATTTTATATCACCCCAGACAAGGTGGCTGGAATTCAACCTCTTTATTTTATTTTTCAAAATATTCAGTGTGCTTGGCTGGTTTTGGACCTGAACATTACACTCCGTTTTGGCAAATGAATACTTTCTAAAGACCAACCTCGAGAAAGGGTGTTGAGTGACAGCTTTGTTAAGATTCTCCGTGGCTCCCAGCTGATGACAAGTGTGCCCCGACGCATTGCCTCCGGTCTTTCTCTGGGAAATACATTTGTTCTGCCAAAAGGCATTGGGAGAGCCGCATGGGGGCTTCCAACATTGTTTCTCACACTGGGCCATTTTGGAGTCCTGACTGCCTTGTCCCATGCCACCAGACCATGACAGGTCCCAGGTAGCCCCGAGAGGGGTAGTCCTGCGGGGTCTCTACTGGGAGCTGAATTCATGCTCACCCAGGGACAAGGAGCTGACAGACAGACCTGGACCAAGTCCTGACCATGTGGCCTCCTGGGCCTTCCTTTCCTCATCTCAAAGGGGAGCAGCGGTACGGACATGCCCTAGGACCTGGGGAACTGAGCCAATGACACCGCCACCGCACCCCATGTAGGGGGCACTCGACACACCTCAGTAGGCATATCCTGCCCGTGCCATTTCCTCACTGTCCCGCCTTCTGCTTGGGAAAATAAAGTCATTGCATAAGCCTGCCGATACTGAACAGCCCAGAGTGGGTTCTGCCGGGCTTGGGCCCACAGCCCCTCTTGGCTGGGGAAGGGCGGCAGCCTTTGGGCTCTGCTAGTGGCAGAGAAGGGGCGCTGCAGGGCAGCCAAACTGGGGGACACAGGTTTTCCTCCTTGAGAGGGTAAGCTGCTGGCAGCAAGGAGCCCCAGGCAAGGAGGAACACAGCAGCCCCTGCTCTCAAATCACCTGCCAACCACTGGAGACACCTTGGATTAACAAACTTCTCTTTGGGTTTAAAAATACTCAGGGGAGGGCAGATTCAAGTAACTTGTTTCCACAGATGCTTTTGAGTACCTGTTATGAACCAGGCTGTGGGCTAGGCCGTGAGTCAACTGCTCTTCTCAGTTTGAGGGAAGGGGACTTGGGTCAGGAGGCAGGACAGGATGTTGGCAGGAAGGAGAAAGCTACAGGGGCTTGTCTGGGATGCGCCTCTGCCTCCCACGTGCCTCTGCCTCCCACGCCCCTCTCCCTGGCCGTGCATACGAGCATTTTCTGAGTCCTTCTGTGCACCAGGCACAGTACTAGTGCCTCAAAGACTTTCCTCCACCTCACTTGGAGCCTGATGATTGGCTCTTCCCAGGGCCCTCAGCATCCTTTAATGGGACCCTCCAGGAAAGGGCCACATTAACCTCAAATCGAACCACACTCTGGAGAGCTTGGCTTTGCCAGGTCCTGTCTGCCTGTCTTCAGTGGGCCCTGCACCCTGACGTGACCGAGGCTGTTTCCAAAACTACACCTTCCGCTGCCTCCGAGGCATTTCCTCTGAGAAGGGGGCTACCTGGGGATACAGATGGAGACAAGGAAAGGGTCTCATGGAAGAGAGAGCTGGAGCTCCCCTGTCCCTGGCACCAAGCCTGACAGGCACTACTCCTCTCGCCCTGGTTCTCATCCACGTCTGATTTCCTCCCCTTACTCAGGGCTCCCAACACAGTGCTGGGCATGCAGGGACACCTGGCAGTGCTTCTTGTGGACACACTGGCTAAGTGACCAGCACCCCACCTATGCAGGGGTCCACTCTGACCATCTGATCAGGGAGGCTAAAGATGGGATTCCTGCTCTGGGGTCACAGTCAAACAAAATCAAACAAAATGACCTCCAAGGATCCTGCCAGCTCTGAGGCTCTAAGAGTCTTAGTTACTTCTTGATTAATTATATCTTAATTAATAGCAAACCAAACATTGCAGCAACAGGCAAGCTAATGAACTAAATGAGGGTAATCTGTTCACTACACCCGTGTAGCACATGATTGGGATGGGGGATTCACAGACGCCTACTTGATATTTCCACTTCCTTCTCATGGAGCGGGCGGCAGGAAATAAACATGATGTTCTCGGGCTTTTCCCAGTGGGCCTGCAGAGGCCCCGGTAGATCCCAGCACTTGGCTTCCTCTCCACGGCTCTGTGTCTTGGGATCATTTGTGTCCCGTGCCCCAAACACAACAGATTTGACCCAGTTGGTGCTTCCTGTGAGCCCAGAATAGAAAGTGCCATCTGTCACGTTTTAGATGTCATATGTCCACTGATGACTTGAAAACAGGGTGTACCACCAAGAGGTGCGGGGAGCAAGGCAGGTGAGAACCAGCCAACCTGGTGAAGCGCAGCTCAGCCACACGCAGAGACGGGTCGTGGGGGCGGGGCAGCCAGGCCCTTCGGCAGCCTGCCTGCCATTGCTCTGCAGGCAGAATGCCTGGGGCTCTGCAGCCCTGAAAGTTGCCCTCATCTTCCATCTTCTGGGAAGACGGAGTGGCCCTCAGGACAGGGTATGTCTGGGATGGGACAGCTTATTGGCGCAGTTGTCCCCAGCAGGCTGGGCCGAGGGCGAGGACTCCTGGGGAGTGCCACGGTGGGCAGGTCGGCCCCCGCAGGGGACGCCCCGGCCACACCCCAGGCGCTTTTCATCCAGCAGGGACAGGTGGTACTCGCACAGGTCGATCAGCGAGGCCACCTGCTCATGAAGTGGCAGCATCTTGAACTTCCTCTGAGCCAGGAAAAAGAAGGCTTCTACGAAGGCCTGCAGACACATCCCTGTGAACAAACAGACTGGATGAGGGGTGCACACACTGCCCCATGCTGCCCTGGGAAGGCCCATCTCCGGCCCCAAGGATGTCAACGAGACATGGCCCCGCTCCCCAACGTCATCTCCATTCCAGAAACTCCTAACAGGGCTAACTCACAGAGTGCCCACCAGGCACTAACTGGGCATTTTACAGCCACGTACAGACCCAATTCCTCACACAGCCCTGTGAAGTAAGGTCGATTAACCCTATTTTACAGATGAGGAAGTTGAGTCTCAGCGACATCGGAGACCTGGGGAAAGTTATATGAGATTTAAACCTAGCTCAAAGCCTTGTAAAATGTCCACAAAGAAATGCCCCCATTAAAACCCAGCTCTTGGCTGAGCGAGGTGGCTCATACCTGTAATCCCAGCACTTTGGGAGGCCAAGGTGGGTGGATCACTTGAGGTCAGGAGCTTGAGGCCAGACTGGCCAACATGGAGAAACCCCATCTCTACTAAAAGTACAAAAATTAGCCGGGCGTGGTGACATGCCTGTAGTCCCAGCTACTCAGGAGGCTGAGGCAAGAGAATCACTTGAAGCTGGGAGGCGGAGGTTGCAGTGAGCTGAGATCGCACCACTGTACTTCAGTCTTGGCGACAGAGCAAGACTCCAGCTCAAAAAACACAAAAAACCCCAGCGTCTTAACTTTTATAATCAGGGAACAAGGTTATGAAGATATGAAGATAAACCCGGTTTGACAGCAAAGTTCCATCTCACAATAGCGATGCTGGTTACATGGGTGTATGCATTTGTCAAAACTCAAATTGTATCATAAGGCTCATGCATTTTGCTGTCTGTAAATTTCATCTCAAAAAGTAAAATAAATCCAACTGTCTTTTCTCTGGCCCAAATTGCATTCTGGAAAATATAGTCATCCCTACGACACTCCTGGAATGCTCTTCCCCGGCTTAGTCTTATCAGCGTCTACTGATGTTTGGAACCTGAGCTCAGAATCACTCATTCAGTAAAACCTTCCTTCCTGATCCCCAGGTTAGAACGGGCCCCTGATACAGGCTTCCTGCCCTTCTCTTTGCAGCACCTGCTGCAGCTTGCTCTGTGTCTGTCTGTCTGTGTGGTCTCCATGTTCCTCTCTGGACTGCGTGCTTCCCATGCTGCCCAGAGGTACTCCGTATAGATGAATGAGTGACTGAATGAATGAATGCACTGATGGTACTTTACCGAGATTGCCGCTAATTCTCACAATACCTTTATGAGGTCAATATTATTATGCCCCATCTTACAGAGTAAGAAACTGATTAGCTAGGGAATAATAAAGTACTTCCCAAAAAAAAAAAAAAAGAAACTGATGGCTGGGGGTGGTGGCTCACACCTATAATCCCAGCACTTTGGGAGGCTAAGGCAGGCAGATCACAAGGTCAGGAGATCGAGACCACCCTAGCCAACATGGTGAAACCCTGTCTCTGCTAAAAATATAAAAATTAGCTGGGCGTGGTGGCTCGTGCCTGTAATCTCAGCTACTCGAGAGGCTGAGGCAGGAGATTCACTTGAACCAGGGAGTTGGAGGTTGCAGTGAGCCGAGATTGCGACACTACTCTCCAGCCTGATGATAGAGTGAGACTCCTGGTCTCAAAAAAAAAAAAAAAGAAAGAAAGAAAGAAACTGATACTCAGAGAAGTAACTTCCCTAGGGTCACATAGCCAGGAAAGAGTGATCTAAAAACTGATTCTCAAGTTTTTTAACTAAGTTGTTAAAAACTTAGTTAAAAGTTTTAACTGCCTGAAAGGGTCTGAGTCTCCCCAATGTCCAAGTAAAACTGAACCCTGGGATCTAAACCTATAGGACTCCCTGGGCTCCTTGGGAAAGGTGACAGTAAGGCTGGACTGAACACCATGTGGCATTTTAGATTAGGCTGGTGTTGACTCTGAAATCCACACCTTCCTCGTGACCATACATTATTTTTATCTGCTTCTGGAATCGGCAGCAGAAGCCTGGTCTAGGGTTTATAGATCCCGGTTACATACAGGTCCTGGGATCCGAGAGCTGTTTTTGCCTTGGGAACCTGAGCTGGGCAAAGACGTTGTGTTTTGTCTCCCTCCTAGTCCATCAAAGCTTCTCTTGACTCCAGACATCCTATAAGGCCCCCGCTCTGTTTCATCCTGACAGGAGGAGCTGATAAAAAGGGTTTTACACCAGAGTTACTTTTAATGTAAACAGAGGCCTGGGGTGGACCGAGATACAGGGATGTGGGAGCCTCGGTCTGCCTCAAGAGACAGATGTTTTCTAATCACTAACTCTGGGCCAGGGATCTCCTAGGGAGGGCTGTGACTGTGCAAATATGTGCATCTGTGTCTGTGTGTGTGAGACGGTTGGGTGGGAGGGTCAGATACACACAGAATGAGAAGATTAGGATCAAAAGCTAGGGAAACCCACTCCCGGCCCCTTATTTTCCAACCGTGTGATCTCAACAGCGCCACTCAAAGTGTGACTGGCTGACAGTGCTAAGCCCACGAACTGTGTGTCCCTCGTCCCTGACAAGATAAGGAGCATGGGCCAGAATGTTAATCACGGCCAACATCAATCACATTGTTTAGTTTTGTTGACAGTATTTAGTATAATAGCATGTCTTCCTCTATAAACGAAGCAGCGTGCTGTATACATTCTGGCTCAGGCCTCTTGTCCAGGGCTGTGACAGTCTGTGGGTTGCAACTTTGAGTAACTGTGCTCTGCACAGCCCTTCCCAGCTGTAATGTGCACTCCAATCACCAGCTTGTTCAAATTGGAACCCTGGGCTGGGGCCAAAGACACCATTTCTAGCAAGCTTCCTCATGGTGCTTATGCCGCACTTCCAATGGTAAGGAGCTAGCTACTCACTGCACCTCTTTACTTTACAAATATCAGTTCTGTTCATTTATTTGAAGGTAGACTGTGATTAGAGCTATAATGCATAGAAAATATACAATGAGGACCGATTTGGAAAAAAAAAAAAAAGCCTGGCAACATGATCTAGAAAAAGATATTCTCAAAGGAGAAGTGGGATCTCACTGTGCTGGCTCGGCTTTCTTTCTGCTTGTCTGCATTTTGTGATTTTCTACAGTAAACATGTATGCAACCTAAACATCTGCAGTGGGAAATTCTAGTGTGTGGAAAGAGATGATGTAGGCGGAGATGCTTTTAATTATGAACCCCTGACTACGATTTGAATTTGAAATCAGGTACTTGCATTACTTTGAAAAACATACAATGCAAACTTTGTACCTATATTCTACTTAACTTTTTATCAAAATATATACTAATATATATATTTATATATGTAATATTTTTATATATTATATAAATATATAAAATGTATATTTACATTTATTTATATATATTTATATATATATGTATACATATATATGGGTCACTGGTTGTATAAAATCATATATATAGGGTTTTACACCAGGGTTACTTTTGGCAGGGCTGAGATTTGAACCCAAGCCTCATGCACTGCTGCTTCTGCACCTTATTCCCAGAAACCCTCTGGAGCATCCCTGCCAAGAGCATCTGAGGATGGAAATGGTAGAACCTGCAGGAAACACGGAAGCCAACGCCTTGGAGGATCTGGGGGTTGGGGCTTCGGTAGAGGCTTGTGGGGAAGTGGGCATTACAGTGAGGCCTTGCAGAATGGGGAGGGCTTTGATGGGCAGAGATGTGCTGGGAGTGGTAGGCTGGGCAGAGAGCAGGGACCTGCAGGGCAGGAGGGCCGGGTGGATGGCACAGGGGGCCTGCTGCAGAACAGGCTGGGGAAGAGGCCAAAGGGACTAGACGCGGAGACCATCAGTGGCCACTGCGGGGCTGGAGTCAATGCTGGATCCGGCCACTGGGACGCCCTGCAGGTGCTGGGCAAAGCCTGGGTGATCTGAGTCCCATAGGTGTGGACTGGTAATAGCCTGATCACATTTTCTAGTCTGGTGATTTCTAACCATTTTTTCAAAATAGTAATGAAGACTGTGAGGGATTCTTTTTTTCTTCTCTTATTTTATTTCTCAACTGAAATCTTCTGAGGGAGTCCAGTATGGCAGACAGGTAAAGGGACCCCTCTCCCCTCTCTGTTTAGTCCAGGTGAAGGATGGCTCGGAGCCCTGCCACACAGTCCCTCATCCCTCAGGGCCCTTGGATCTTCATGAGCAGCACAGTCACTGTCACCCTGAGACCCTCAAACCCCTGTCTAGCATCTGCATTTTGCCGAAGAGTGTTGGGGGTATCTGAGGCCCCCAGTTACACTCAGCAACTGACAGAAACAGGGCTCGACCCCAGCTCTGGGACAGAGCCCAGGCCACCCTCAAACCACATCTCCCCTTCTGAAAAGAAAACGGAATGCAGAATCAGACCAATCACTTCTCCAGCCATGGGCTGTCACCACTGACAGACAGCCCTGCTGAATGTATCCCGGTGAGTGTGGTTGGGACCAGGGGATGCCGCAAACTGCATGCCATGAGCACATGGGCCTCCGGTCCCCACAATGGCCCATTCTAATGGCCCTTTCAGTTTGACTAGACATTGGCTTTAATCCTCAATTCATCAAGGAGGCCCAGGAAATATTCACTGACCCAGGCCAATATTCACAGAGCTTCAGAAAGCTTAACCTTTTGAAGATTTCAAGGGGATGGGGTGGGAGGAGGAGTCAGTACACTGAAGAGAATTCAAGTTACGCTGCAGGAGCAGGGCTGCTGGGGTTCCCCCGAGACTCCGCTTGGGCTCTGGGTCATCCCCCACCAGCTGCAGTTTCCAGCCTTTTCCATAGCCTCCGCAATAGAACTGGGGCTTTCTCCTTCCTTATGTTTACTTACTATATTGTAATGAGAATCTTAGCAGAAAGTGCGGTGAAGCCGTGCCTGGTCTTCCCTCCAGCACTCACGGATTCTTGCAGACTGACCTTCCACCCTTATTCTTTGTCCACAGGAAAACGTGTTGTCACTTAGTTGTGATAACACACATAGAACTTTTTGTTTTTTTTGAGATGGAGTT